TTGACATTGGGGGGTGGGGGTGGAGGGGATGAGATTTGGGGCTAGAACTGACCTTTTCCCCTGAACATTTCCATTTCCATAACCCCCTCCTCCCCCCACCACACATACGCACGTCTTTTCGTAGTGGAAATGCTTTCTGCACACGCTGTTTGGATCTGCTGTGATAGTGCTGGAGGTGATCGTGCTGCAGGATGGGTGAGGTTCCTCACTAGCAGCCCCTTAGCTTCATCACTGCCAGGCAGCCGGAGTGGGGGTGACATGTTGTCATGTATTCAGAAACCCAAGGTACAGCCTCTGTTTCCAGCATTTTCAGCTCACACCAGCCTGGGAGCAAAAATCCAGGATTCAACATTTACAAAAAGCTCAAACTTGCTGAAATTCTCTTTTTAAAAGAAAGCCTCTCCCCGAAGGGAAGCTCAGCTTTGCCGTGGGCACTGTCTGAGCGCATCCTGCAATGAGTTTGCCTGCAATAAATGAATGCTGAGCAGAGCCCTTGGAGCTGAAGGAGCTTGTGCTATGTTGCCATTCCTCCCCCCAGCTTCTGGGTACTGTCCTTTCTTCCTGGTCACGTCCCACCTGCCATGTCATTTATGTCATACTTCCCCCTGGGCTGTGACTGCAGGCCCCTGGAGGAAGGGGCACCACTGGAGTTGCAAGGGGCTCATTGCATCCAAATTAAGGCCTGGCACTCAGTTTTCCTTCTATTTGGCACTTTGGGGGGCAAACCTGCCTGCCAGGCAGGGTGGAGTTGTGAGGGGTGGTACACACAGGACAGGACAGGACAGGACAGGGGGTGGAGGCTGAGACAGACTGTGATCCGGCTAGGCTCAGTGGATCCACCTTCGTGCTAATCTATTGTCTGCTGCCCCTGAAATGCAAGGGCCCAGGCATGGCAGGTTCTTGCAAGGTCAGAGTAACAGCCTAGGAGCATCTCCAGTGGGCAGAACGCCGGCCCCCAGGCGCGTGGCTGTGTGGGTGCAGGTGGTTAGATGCGAGTGTGTGTGTGTGTCTCCCTCCCTTTCCCTTATCCCCTCTGACTCTTGTTGTCTCTCTTCCAGGCCTGGCGGTGGGCTAATCATTATTGACAGCATGCCCGACATACGCAGGAGAAAGCCCATCCCCCTAGTTAGTGATTTGGTGAGGTTCCTCCTAATATCTTCTCCCCAACAGCCGCTGGCTTCTATGGCCGACCTGCTCCGGGTGGCTGGAGTCCATCGTGGATGTTGCCTGAGCTCATTTTACTCTGGGGCCGCCGGGATGCGAGTCTGTATAACGGGGTCCTTGATCTCTGGCCCCAGCCCTCCCTTAGCCCAGCTCTGGCACTCTTTGCCCTGTGGCCTCGCTCGCTTTGTATAACGTGGCTTTATTTCTGTTCTCTTTTCTTGGGTGTGGTCTGGCTGCATTTATGCCCCAGAGGAGCAGCAGTAAAGTTTCTGCGTTGCATTGATAGCATGCCCGACATTAGGCCCGGACGCAAGTCCCTGCCGCTAGTCAGCGATCTGGTGAGCGCGTGGTCCTTTGGGTTAAAGAGAAAGCACCCAGCATATCATCTCCCTTCTCCTCACCTCCCCCCGCCCTGGCAAAACCCTCCTCTGGGCCCCAGCAGGCTGGCAGTGGGGAGGGAGTGGGGCTGCTGCGTCACAACAGGTGGCATTTGGGGATGGGTCTTGCTGGCACCAAGCAGAGAGGCAAGAGCCAGCATTAGAGCCATGTCTCCATGCGTGAGTCGGTTCCCAGCTGCAAGGGGAGCCCGATGAGCAGGCAGGTGCCAGCATCCAGAACCAGCAAGCCTACAATATCCCAACCGCTCCCCGCTTCCCTGTGCTCCTCACCCCACCAGTCTGCAGCAAGGCAGGCCTGCTGGAGCCCTTCTGGGGAGCACTGAGAGCAGCGAGACCTGTCCCTGCTGAACCTAAGGGCATTTTGTTGCTGGCTTCAGTGGAGATGTCCCTGTCCATTCAAATACGAGCCTCTCTGCTGCAGCTTCACCAGCAAAGAGCACCAGCTCATATCTGTTGTGGGGGCTATACTGTGTAGGATAGGTATAAAAAGTTCCTCCCATTATAGGGTTGCCAACCCTCCAAGCCTCCAGGAATTAGATGTAAATCTCCAGGAGACAACTGAGAGTCACCCCGGAGATAAATGATAGAGCATTTATTAAAATTAAATATTAACTGTGGAATCCAATTTATATAGTAGTGCAGTAGGTTTTTAAAAATGTAATAGTAATGTGCCGGGTGCCTTCCTAATGCAAAGTCTGTGCACCATAATCTGTGCCTGATATATGTAAGCACACGGGCACATTTGCATTGTATGTCGTGGGCACGTTGGCGTTCCAGAAACCTCCTGAAATAGAGTCAAACAGAGTTGGCAACCCTACCCCCATAGTGTAGACTGGGGATGCTAGGGCACATCTGAGGACCGTTCACATCCTAATGCTGCCAGAAACATTCTTGATTGATTGATTGTGCTTGGGGAAGACTTAAATGTGTAGCGAGAAGGTGAACATGAAAATTATTACATGCATCTACATGAGATGCTTACTGAGTGGTAGCCTAATAACATCGTGCAGTAGTGTGTTGGTCAAAAACTGTGCTAATATGCTACTGCTTAGTGTTATTCGGCGACTGCGCAGTAACCGTCACAAAAAAAAACGTGCGCCAGTGGTACTGCACAGTAACTGTAGTTACTGTGAATTTAGCTTAGGACTACATTAAGAAAGTACTAAACTAAATGCACAGTAACTACTGTGCATTAATGAACGTGTAGATGCGCCCACTGAGATTGGTAAATGAGATGGCTTAGCTCTGAAGTGGGCCTGAGTGGAGACGTTTAGGTCTAGATCTGAGCCTCGTAGGACCTGAAACCAGTCTGGACCAGATGGCCTGGTTTGGGGCTCCCTCTGTTAATCAGTGCACTTCATAAATTAGGCTACTCTCCAAAGCAGACAGTGCCCTGAAAGGAAGTTGGCATAGCCTTTTCAGTGGTGCACTTCATAGGAGCCCCGGGGCCCCAGGAGAGGGGAGAGCCTGCTCTGAGCCCACGGAGGAGGGTTTGTCTTCATGTAATTGTTTCTAAAGGGCGCTTTCTCTTTAACAGAAGTTGTCAGGACCTTGTCCTGTAAGGGACATCAGTCTGAGTCCTTCTGTGATGGCAACTGGTTTCAGATTTTGTTACTTGGTTCCTCACAACTTCACAAGCACACTGGAAAATCCTCCCGCCACGTAAGCTGTGCCCCCTGGTGTGCTCCCTCACTGCACAGCCCAGAGCCTGCATCATCCAGCATACTCCTGCAGTGTGCAGCATATATGCTGCCTTCTGGGTCACGCCACCATAATTCAAACCACGGATCCCACTAGAGTCAGCGTGCTTTTGTAATCTAAAGCATATGCACCACAGCACGCAGGCACACACAGCTGCATATCGTTACAGCCAGTGGGCTCCTGTAATTAAAAACGTGCCTGCTTCTCTACCCAACATTCCCATAACTTAGAGCCTGTATAGTCCAAGCTCCAGGGTGTTGCTGTTACTCACAGCACACCCTGATCTTTTATGCTGTTATAGTGAATGCTCCTCTGTAATCCATAAATATGCCTTGCTACCTGTGACACGCTCCTGTAGTTTGCAAATCATATACTGTGTACATAGACCTGAACTGTAATTCCTGGCCTATATTGACTTTACTGTGCACCACAGTAACTAGTCATCCATGGGACATGCCTGACACTCCTCTAATTCCCAGATTATACACTGCTGCATATCCTCCTAGCATTCACAGTACACTGCAGCTCCAAAGCCAATCCCCAGACCAGTCCAAGCCCCAGCACTGCTGGCAACCCCTATCATGGGAGTACACAGTCTGCTTGCCATCACTCTCACTGGTGACAAAGGAAGACAAAATTGGAAACCGGCTCCTTGTTCCACTCAGATCTGAGCTCCCTCTTTTCTTTTCCTCCCCATGGATCCAATGGGTTTTTCTGTGCTTTACACACTCATTCCCAGGGGTTTGGTCCTATTCCCTCACGTTGCCTTGCCTCGTTCCTTTGCTGCTTGTCTGTGTCCCTGCTTGCTGCTCTTGCCTTGGCTCAGGAGGGCAAGCCATGGCTGATGCCTCCGTGCCACATGTTGTGTTTGTCTCTCCATGTGGGTGATGGAAGGACGCAGGGTTGGGAGGAGGGTGGTGGGTGGGAGGTTCCCTAATGGGTCATATACTGTGCTGTGTCTGGACTGGCCTGTGCAGTAAGCAGAGGGGCATGTCCAATGGTGGGGGGTGGCCAGCTGGGCTAGCACGCTGCTAATGGAAGTGGCTTTCTGCATGGGGATGCATTTTCTCTTCCCATCCTTAGGCCGCTTTGCCTTTAGCACCCAGACTCCCTTTCTTGAGAACTCCCTACAGCCCTGTCCCCTGGAAGGATTCCCAGTGGCTGGGCTGGCTCCAGCTACCTAGGAAGCAAGTTGGTGCTCCCAGGAAGCCATACCCAATAGTACAGCTGGGACAGGCCTCTTTCCTCCCAGAGGGTGGCATGTGCTATTTGCCACTGGCAGCTGGGCTGCTGAGTTGGCAGAGAGGACCCAACCTCCATCTCTGGGTCATGCCCACCTCCGAGTCTCAAGCTGGCTGCCTCCGATCCAGGTCTGAATTTTGGAAAGCTTCTGTTCAGCAGAGCTGCCACCCTGAGCCCCTGGGTGGGGGAGGGAGAAGTCACTGGTGGCTGAGAGCCAGGGTACAGGATGGAGACGAGGCAGCTGGTTCCAGAGCCCAGCAATGGGGACAAAGACCAGAGAGTACCCAGGAGTACCCAGGTTACCCAGGAGGGGACCAGCCTCTTTTCCCGCCATCTCTTCATGGTGTGTGGTAGGGGGGAGGGCATGACTTGCCTGTTTGAAATGCTCACCTTGCTGTTTGTTTCCCATCCCTGTGGCTCTTCGCTGCGTGCAGGCCATGGTAAGTACTGCATAGCTGTCATATCTTCCTTGTGTTTCTTGCAGGGAAGATATAGAGCTTTAAACTGAGCATGCCACAGTTGTGAGCGCTGAGCGGGTCCAGCATGATGTGCCCAGGTGGGCCAAGATAGACTGAGACCAAGATGCATATTCTGGGGGGTGGGGGCTCTTCCCCTCTGACACCACCCAGGGGTGGTAGGGAAAAGTGGGTCCAACAAAGAGCAGTGAATTGGCTTTTATCTTTCCCTGTGTTGTGAGACAGGCCTGGAATTGGGGTCAGCTATGAACATTACCTGGGGCTGAGGATCCTGCAGTGCAAACACAGCACTGCTGGGAGCAGACTGGGGAGAGGCTCCATGCCTTTGGAGAGGCTGTTTTGTGCCCTGGAAGGAAGAGCTGGGCAGCTCATCCTCATCCCTTGGCCTTCAAAAGCCTCTAGACAGAGGGAGGTCAGGGTCTACAGGCTGCCTGTGCTTCTTCCTGGCTCATACACCTGTTCATTTTGTGTCCTTCCAACAGTCCTTGGTCCAGTCCAGGAAAGCTGGTATCACGTCAGCATTAGCATCAAGCACCTTAAACAATGAAGAGCTAGTAAGTACGGTCCCTGCACACCTACCACGATACTCTTGTGGCCTTCAAATGCTCGGCCTTGGACTGTGGTCTTGTCAAAGCTTGAAAGCTATGCAAGGTCAGATTGGGTCTTCTAAGAGAGAGGGGCCGTGTGCTGTGGGGAAGAGGTGCTGGTCCTTCCGTGTTCCCAAGGCAGCACAGGGGGCTCTGACGGGCTCTGCGATGAGAGGTGGCCTCTCTTAGAGGGAGCCAAGCCAGCCTGGCTGCTTGTGGCTGGTAACAGTCTGGGAGTGAGGGGACCATTCCCACTTTGGGTTGGTATGTTCCTCCTGCCGGGGGCTTCAATTCTTGCCCTGTTGAAAGCTGCCGCTCGCACCCCAGAGGTGGCTGCACTTCTGTTCTCTCTTCTCTTCCCCTCTAGAAAAACCATGTTTACAAGAAGACCCTTCAAGCCTTAATCTACCCCATCTCTTGCACAACCCCCCACAACTTCGAGGTGTGGACCGCAACCACACCCACCTACTGCTATGAGTGCGAGGGCTTGCTGTGGGGCATTGCTCGGCAGGGCATGCGCTGTACGGAGTGTGGGGTGAAGTGCCACGAGAAGTGCCAAGACCTGCTCAATGCAGACTGCCTACAGAGTAAGGGAGCGGTGCTGTGGCTTTCCCTCTTCTAGAGAATATCGTGGGGTGGGAAGTGGGTTTTTTTTCAAGGGGCCAAGGTGATTTAGGGGCACAGGTCTTGGGCCATGTGTATGGGATACTATCATATGTGCTTCCCCATGCACAGATCACCCTTGAAGTCTTTAATCCCTGGGACATGAATGCTTGGGAAGAGGCTAAGCCTAGGTCAGCCCTTTTCTGAAGGTCTGGCCCAGGATTGTATCCATTCATTGTTTCTGCCCCCTGCGACTTTCCATCACCCCAGGAGCAGCTGAGAAGAGCTCCAAGCACGGGGCAGAGGACCGGACCCAGAACATCATCATGGTGCTCAAGGACCGCATGAAGATTCGGGAGCGGAACAAGCCTGAGATCTTCGAGCTGATCCAGGAAGTCTTCGGCGTCTCCAAAGCCACCCACACGCAGCAGATGAAGGCGGTGAAGCAGAGCGTGCTGGATGGCACCTCCAAATGGTCGGCCAAGATCAGCATCACGGGTAGGCACGGGCACAGCCTGACATGTTGGAGTCATGCACGGACATGTTCCCCAGCGACTACATGGGTACCAGTGATAAAGAGGGCGATGGGCTTAGAGTCCAATCCTCACTGCTCTCCTAGAGGTCTGCTGATGTCTCCTTCTTACCATGGTAGGGTTGGAGCTGGAGCTATTGAGCACTGCTCTAGCTTTCCAGTACAGGGACACAGCACCATGTGCTAGAACATCTTAGATCCCAGATCTTGGCCCCAGTAACAGGTGACTGCAGGGGGTTACAGCTCCCAGCACGCAGTATCCCATCCTGAGCCAGTTGAAATTGGGTTAAGATAGAGGGTTGCATGCTAGCACTTGAAGTAAGCCAGGGCAGCAGGTTCCTGTCACAGAGGCTCTTTACCCCTGGGGCTGTGCTTGTAGAGCTGTACAGGCCAGCTTTGTCCCTTTCTATGGCCAGTTTAGGTATGTCTTGCTCCAGATGGGCTGTATCCATCAACAGGGTAGGTATCTGTGATCTGCTGTTAGTTCACAGCAAAAACTGTGCCATGTGTGTCTCTCAGAGGTCTGGGGCTAGGGCTGGGGATGGTCCTCCCTCTGGGAGCCAGCAGCTGCCTTTGACAAAAAGGAGGTGCATTCACACCAGAACCTGGACCGGCCCAGCTGGATGACATGGACCAGAAAGCAGAGTCGGAGTCAGGCTCCTCTGTGCAGCATCTGCTGATTTGAAAAATCTCATGTTGCTTGATTGTTTTGTACCCGCAATTGATTCCTGTTTTTATTTGTTCTCTCCATTGTGTGGGTATGTGTTGTGCCTGAATGATGTGTGCTGCCATGTGTGTCCATATAAATATTGTACCTTTGTGTGTATGGACCGTGTGTATGTATGGTGTTATAGTTGTTTGTGCCCAGGGCCTGCAGGCAAAGGATAAGACAGGCTCCAGTGACCCGTATGTTACTGTCCAGGTTGGAAAGACGAAAAAAAGGACTAAAACTATCTACGGAAATCTAAACCCCGTCTGGGAGGAGAATTTCCATTTGTAAGTTATTTCTTACCCTGCTCTCAGCCCTAACTCCCTGCTGCCAGCATAGCCTTGGGTTTCCTCATCTCAGTCGCATGGTTTTGGTCACCTGGCCTAGCCCTGAGTCATCTCTCTGTCTGTCCTGGAGATTGCCAGTCCCCACGGTGCCCAGGTGCTAAGTGAGACTAGAGGAACTGGAGCAGAAGCTCTGTAGGGCCCAACTCATCTTAAGCACAGAGTACTTCTACTGAGGTCCGTGGTGGTGCTGGGGTATGAAGCAGGCCCCTTTGACTGCTCTGCCTGTGTTTAGTGAGACCTGCTT